AGTAATCCAAATGTTGAAATATGTGGTAGTAATAACTATAGTATGGACAATATTTTCCTTAAATGCATGGTTTATGTCTTTCTTACATTGTAGTGTGTTTTGGTGATCCTATATTCCCTTCACTGTTAGCCAATAACTCATCAGTGTTCTGAGAGTCTTCAGCCAGAAACCCACTGAATACTTAGTATTTTTAAATACTTCTTTTAACCCAAGCCCCGTGGTGATGTGTCCTGACTGTGAGTGCCTCAATCCCAGTGGCTGTTTCTCTTGAACAGCACTGAACTTGTCTCTGCAGGCTAAATCTCTCTTCACTGTCCACTAAGGAAATGTGGGAATATATTTTATCTTTACTGTACAGTTATCACATGAGAAATCTTTTTTTTTCAAGTTCAAAGAATTCTTAAGGGAAAGTAGGAAACATAATTCAGGGAGATAGGGCTGAGAAGCATTATTAATATGCTAGGGGTATTAGAAATTCTTGCCTATCAGCTTAGATTAGTCTGGATGTGATGTAAACACAAATATAGGGAAAAATATTTTAATGTAAGTATTTGAGGGAGAAAAAGTTAACTCTCAACTGGTTATGCAAGCAATCCAGATCAGGAAATTTGGTTTAGAGAAGTGGGAATTTACAGCATCATTTTGTATTTCATTGCCATCCATCACACACAGCAAGAGTGTCCCCCATCAGCTTGCCATGACAAATGATCCCTTCCTGGTAGGACAAGCTGTCCAAAGCACCTTGGGAGCTGCACTGCTTTACAGTCTGCTCCTGGGAACAAGCCACCAACCAAGGACACTTGGCTAGTCTTGGACTAACTACTTTTTCAGCTTGCAGAAACAAGCCTTTACTAATAATAATCAGTGCTTGGAAACTGATTTCACAAAATGTCCTCAATCTCTAGTTTGTGAAGGAAGAACAGATATGGAGAATGAGTCATGTTTTTTCAGTAAGAAGGAATGGTGTGTCCATGCCACTTTCCAGATGGAAGTGACCTTTAAAGGTCATCTAGTCCAAAGCCCCTGCAATGAGCAGGGACATCTTTGATGAGATCAGGTTGCTCAGAGTCCCATCCAGCCTGACCTTGAATGTTTCAAGGGATAGGGGATCCACCACCTCTCTGGGGAGCCTGTGACAGTTGTCCTGATGGGAGACTGTCTGACCAGCTGTTTGGACAAGACAGAGTGTCCCAAGGTACCCAAAACACACCCAGTTATTGCTCATTGAGTCATTATCTCACTTCCATTATTTTTTAATGAAGTGCCTATCCTGCTTGTATCTTCAGCAGCATTGATCCAGCCTAGGCTTGAAGGGCAAGCCAACTGCCTTTCTGGTGGCACAGACCACCCTGGCAGTCCTGCTCAGCCAGGTTACCCCATCCTTTGGGCAGCCCAAATCCCACATAAAGCCTTGTGTGGTTCATCAGCACTCTCCTCCATGCCACAGGCACTGAGGGCTCCCTCTGGAGTCAGGCCTTTTGAGCTCTGGGCAGCACTCAGTGACTCTATGTTGCACACCCTGGCAAGGCTTGGCTGCAGTTGGGGGTCTCCAGTGGCTTCACTGCAGGGTTTGATGGCATTTCTGTGGCTGGGAGGAAAAGAAGAGCCCTTGTGTTTGTGGTCTGCCAGCCCTCCTGCTGAGACCTGATCTCCCCACTCTGTTCAGGGTGCACCATGCCAAGGTCCTGCTTCTGTCCCTGGCTTGCACCAAATGTTTCAAAAGAGAGTGCAAGAAATCCTGAAGGTGACAGCTACAGAATAACTTGCCAACAGGGAAAGTTTCCTCCAAATCCTATTACTCAGAGGTTGGCTTCAACCCTGGAGCATTAATCTTTATATCCTCTCTAAGTACTGTCTGTGTTTGCTCTCTGTGGCCCTACCACAGTAACTCTGAATCTTCTGAGTGTCCAAAAAGAGGACAAAGGGTCTCACTGCCATTTTTTCTGTTTAAAACAGAGAGGTTCTTTAAGTGAAGGCTAGGAAGAAAAAATAAAGTGCATTCCCAGACATTGCATCTGTCCTGGAAGGCCTTTAGAATTACATTTTTATGCTTAGAAAATAGTTTTGCTCTTCAGTGACATCTAGGCAGGTTGTTCAAAGAGCCAAAGCATATTAAATACACAGAATAAGCAATGTCAAGTAACACAGTTCCAGTTACACCATGTTGCAGGGAGATGGCAACAGTAGGGACACAAATAAATGTTAAGGGATGATGCTTATATGTTATTGCTTTTAATTTCTTAAATAATGATCAATAGGAGAGATGGATGGTTAAATGCCAGCATGAACTGTTGGCAGTATTTGGTAGAAATCTCAGCTGTCATTCTTAACTCATCAGTGTACTTTCAACACTGAAAACTTCAAATTTGAAATAAAGCCCCTTGCATCTGATAAAATTGCCAGGGATAGTAAGTAATTAAACATATTGAACTCTGGTGCTGTCAGTTCAACTCCCTTGGCAGGCACAGTATTGCAAAGCTGGGTCTCAAAGCTGTCCTTCAGGAATGCAGCTCCCAGGCCCAAAACCTCTGCCCTACTCTCCACCACTGGCTGCTTCTGCCACTGGCATTTTCCAGGTCTGCAAAACTTGCTCAAGAAAAGCCCTTTGCTTGAGCATAAGGGATTTTCTACAAAGAGCAGGAGCACAGCACATATGAACATGACATTCATGACACAAAGATCTGCCTTGTGTATCTGTTGAGCAACATAGCACATGACTGGGGTGTTGTTTTCTCAAATACCAATATCCCTATAACAGTTCTGCAAAAACAGAGTACATTAGGTGTAAAGCAGAAAGAGAGATAAGGGTGAAATAAAAACTGGAAAGAAGAATGTGCTGAAGGAGAAAATGAGAAAATGGTTGTGGGTAAAAAAACCCTCATCTGAAATACTGAGAGAATATTGAGAAAATATAAAATCATTACTCAAAACGACTGTGGAAAAGGCTGGAATGCAAGAAGGACCAAAAGTATGAAAGAATGAATAGAGAATGCAAAGGAAAAAAGGGAAAGAAATAGGGCAAAAATCAGAGACAAAAGAAGTAATTATTGTCAGGTTTTTTTATTTTGTAGAAAATCTGCTTTTGTACAGCATCTGACTTAACCATGTGTCAGACAGCCCCAAAGAAACTCACAGCCCTGGAAACGGAGGCCAGAGGCAAGTTGTATATGCTTTGCTCTGACTCTTCTTGGAAGCTGCAGATGTTCATTGTTTGGACACACAATGGATAGATGAATGTCTCCAGATGTTCACCATCCATGCTACCAGAACATCAGTGGGCAGGCCAGGCAATGGATGCTTTTAGCAGAAACTTCAGTTTCCGCTACTGCTTCAGAGGAAGCATTTTGTCAGAGTTTATGTTCTGGACAGCACCTGCTCCAAACGTAGGGAGTCTGCACTGCAGAGCATTGCCCCTCTGTGCCACCACCCAACACTGCATGGAGCGTGAAAACTGGCCATGCAACAACTGCTGATGAACTGACTTCCAAGGACAATGAGAATCCAGAATTGATTTTGACTATTTTACCTGATAGGAATAAGCAAATACTTAAAATTCCAAAAGTATTTAAATGATTGAGTGGCTTGAAGTCAGTACAAGGACAGAACTTCTCTTGAGCCACAGAGATAAGAAAATTTTTGTAAGAAATTTGAACAGGAATATATCTAATTATGCTTCTTATTCACAGGGGAAAAAAGCATGTGTCAATTTAGCATTACCAAATATGATACAATTAGTTATCATATACTTCTGTATTCTGGTAGAAAAACTTGTGATGACATTTTTGGGAAGGGTCTAGGTAACAAATGCCCATTTTAATTTGAAAAGGAAAGCTGCTTCCCACCAAATCTCAATACCAGATTATATAAAACCACAGGTGAGACACTGCTGAAAAACAATAATTCAGCAGCAGCACCCAAGTCCCCCTAAAAATTACTCAGATAGTTTTGAAACTACTATCTCTCATATTATAAGCATGGTTCCCTCTCATTCCTATTCATGAATTCCCACTGGCAAAAAGTAACCTGCTGGAGCAAACAGACTTAATCCTATGAAAAATACTGTAAGTGAAGGAAGTACATGTGTTGCCTTCCATGTATGAACCTATAAGAGAAAACAAACCAGGACTTGGTCTTCCACGAATACAAAGAGGCTGTTAGAGGCATGTGCTTTGTCCAACTTGAATAACTTCAGTGAAATGGATGCTCAGATGGCAACCAGGAGGACTTGAGTCTCTCAACTTGGGCTACAGCTACACAAAGATGTGTGTTGCCCTGCAGCCAAGTATCTCACCCTGAGAAGAAGAGCAGCACTCTACCATTTCAATGGTTTTCTTGCTGGTGCTGCCTGGAGTGGCACCAGTTTTCCTGTGGGATGGTCAGGTCACTTCACCTGACCTGAATTTGCTCTCAAAATGCCCTTGCTATGAACCAATGAAAAGAAGAAGCCTGGAAAACTGAAGGTAAAGTAGTGACTCTTCTCCAGTGAAATCATTCAGAAATTTCACTAGTCCTTTTAAGAGAACAAGGAATTCACACCAAAAATATTGACATCCAAGTATCATGCACAGAATCCATGGGAGCTCCATGCAGAAGTTTTGTAGAAGCACTCACTTCTGCCTGCAGGTGGGTAACCCACTCATACGGAAAAACCCCCCACATTTTGTGACAGCCAGCAGAAGATAAGAAAGAGACCCTTGATAGGAAAAATATGATTAAAAAAACGTGCATGCCATTAACAAGTATAAATAGACATTATATTACAGGAGTGAATTGTGTTTTCTTTAGTGTATGTGCCATTTTTTAATTAATTTATACACTAAGTTATACACTAAGTGCTAAAGTGTTTCCTAATGCCATTTGGTGGTGCTTTCAGTAAGCAATGGAATAAAAAGTTCTTGCACAGTTCATTTCTGCATTGTGTTCTCATTTCCTTAAGAAAAAGAAAATTGAAGCAAAACACCACAGGTGCCTCCTCCTTCCAAAGCCCACAAAGCTGTGCATCATGTTTCTGAGGCACTCTGGCTCCCCTCAGGTGTGATAAACTGCACTTTGGGCACGATGAGGGAGGAATTGGTTCTCCGCATGGAGTTGCTCCTCCGAATGGAGTTGTTTCTCCTCATGGAGTTGCGTTTCCGCAGGGAGTTTTGGTGAGACAGCTCACTCTTCTGCAGGGTCTGGATGAGAATGGATGGCTTCTCATCGAGCTCCCGAGCACTGCAACGTGGGGCAGCCACTTTGACAGTGTTGCCAAACTTGGAGTAGTCAACTGCATACACACCTTCCTCCTCAGTGACGATGGGCACAAAGCGGTGACCCCACAGGATCTCCTCTGCTACGTAGGAGGTTCTTGCCTGTGTTGTGATGCCAGTTGTTTCTACAACTCCTTCAAGTATCACGATGAGCTCCAGGTCCTGGAGTGCCAGGTCAGCAGCAGAGATATCGTAAAGAGGACTCCGCTTGTCTATGATGTGACAAATGATTAAGGGAGCCACAAGGAAAATATTGTTGCTTTCAATGGGGTTATCCACAGGGATATCTACTTGGTGAATGGGTATGACTTCCCCTTCAGGGGTTGTAGTCTTCCTCACAACCTGAATTCTCACTGAGGCACTAATGATCATGCTCTTCCTCAGGTCTCCCACTCGAAACATGAAGCAGAGTCTGCCGTTGCGCACGGCAATGACTGCCTGTCTGCTGAAAATCAAGGTCTCAGCCCTCCTGTGAGCCTGCGCCGTTTTCATGAATATGCAGCCCAGCATGACAGCATTGATGATCAGACCTACAATGTTCTGCAAGATCAACACCGTGATGGCCAAGGGACACTCCTCTGTCATCATCCTGCCCCCAAAACCAATGGTCACCTGAACTTCAATGGAGAAGAGGAAAGCAGAGGTGAAAGACCTGCAGGAGGAGATTGCACAAAGTTAGCACGCAGGACATGGAACACAAACGGAGAAGCTGTTAACATACACTTTCTACACAAAGTTAAGGACCTATTTGTACAGTTCTAGTACACTTAAGCCAAGTTAACACCAGCAAAACCATTGTGTGCTTGGTGACTGTTTTTTATGACTGGTGCAGTATCCGATGGTGGCAGGGAAGACCACAAAGCCTGAGCTCCTAAAAGACCATTTGTAACACCAGATGATTGTGAGCAGCTCACAGGAGTCTCTGTTCAGGAACACATACTGCTATTAGTCAACAGCTCTGTAACAGCTGGGCTTTCCACCTTTTCCATCCCATAAAGCTCTTGGTGGAGAGAGGTGGATTTGACAATAGTGAGTAATCAGCTGGCACACTGTGATTCTTCCACCAGGGAACATTGCAGCATTTCATTCATACTACCTGAATCATGGACCAGGATTTCCTGGAAGGAAAGAGGACACTGTCAGAGCCCTGACACTTTTCAAACCCTTGCTCACCTTGTGACTGAGCCTGCAGGGTCAGCCTGCAGAGAGGCCAGTAGCCTCCACAGTACCCATGCACATCCTGGCAGGAGGACAGTGCTGTGACCCAGAGTTTGGGTTTAGCTCACTGCCATAGCAAGACTAGCTGGAAAATTTCAACACAGAATTGGGTTCTAGAAGTGTGGGTTAAGTTAAATGCCCAAATATGCTCCAGTGCTGGACATCAGAAAATGATATCCATGAATTTTCCAAAATACATTATTTATAATAGGCACAATGTGATATCCCCTGTATACACCAGGGTCTTTCATTTCCCTTTATAAACAAAGACCTTAGTCTCTTATAAGAGCAAAATCAGTACCTTGGGGTTTATCCAGTAGACTTGCATCATGTTGGGTCTCATATGAACGAATATCATCGTCACCTTTTAAACACAGGGCAATCCACTAAATTTGAGCATTGCCATGTTCAACAGACCAATGAAGATGGGTCCAAATCATTCACTGGGTTTGCTTTGTTTTTCAATTAATCTGCTCTTAAGTATCTTTTCTTCTTCTTTTCCTAACCATACTTTCTCTGGGGTCATGAGGAAACATTAAAATAGCACAGGCAATATCAGGGATAATTTTCTGTAGAATGAGAAAGTCCATCATTCAGAAAACCAGCCAGTCTCTACAGAGATGTCTTTGAAAGAACTTTTTTTTCTATTTGCCTTTTCTATTCTTTAAATCTTTGACAAATTCCTATATATTGAGGAGGTTTATTTTTGCATGTCCCTCTGAAGAAATCATGGAGGAAGGAGTTAATTAAGAGAACCCACAGAATGATTTCTTATGTTCATGAATATTTAGTCACATGCAGAATGAAGCTTCTGGATTAAACTTCATTCAGCTTAAAGCTCTGTGGAGTAAAGTCTGATTATCCTTAACAGTACTCCTTGAAAAAAAAAAAGAATCCACATTTTTACAGTGAAAGTAACAGAAACAGTAAGTTTGTACAGCATTTGACCATGTGAAAAGGGAGGCAGAAACTCCAAATTACACTGTTTCCAGGTCCTTTCCCTTAGAGCTGTGTACCAGTTTTCCTTTGTGATGTCTACTTTCTGTGGCAAAGAGCAGTAAGACTTAGAAATTTCTGCAGTACTTTCAAAAATCAAAGTGCTGTGCAAGCTCTAGGCACTGGTTAAAATTTCCAAAGCTGGGTTTCCTGTAAATCTGTAATGGCACCTACCCAAGAAAGCTCTCCTGAAATATCTGTGGGCCAAAATCTCAGGGAGATAGGTTAAAAATTATTTGCCACTATTTTGACATACATATCATTGCAGTATTAAATGTATTTTACATCCAACAACTCACCATTCTTAAAAAAGTCAGCAAGCATACTGCTATTTCGTGACTTTGACCAAAGTGGTAGCCAGATTTAATAAGTTCAACTATTTTACTTATGAAGGGAAAAGATTTTCCATGGTTTGGACCTAGACACTTGAGCAGCTGTTGGCTGAACCACACCAGGTACTTGTATGAGGGAGAGATGTGTGTTCTTTGGCATGAGCTAAACTAGAAAGTAATATTGATTCACTTGCACTGCTTTTTCACACTCCTCCAGGCTGCCCTGGCAGTGGAGGCTCCAGACATCCTGGAGGAGCTGCCAGCATGGGGCTGCTGCAGCTGGGGCTACAGGGAGGGAGCTGGGGCAGAGCCCTGGCTGTGATGTGTCTGGTCCCAGTGTCATGTGGGGTGGACTAAGCTGAGGGGGCCACCAAGCACATGGAGGGATGTCCCCTCAAGTGACCCTGAAGAGCCAGCTGGTTGGAGCTACTTGGTAATTCCAATTGGACAGATCCCACAGGTCCCAGCAATGCTGGCAGTAACATCCCTATGGGTGCAAGCTGGATCATGATATCTCATTTCAGAGCAGACTGTTTGTGGTCAGACATTGGAAAAGAAATTACAGCAACCCCTGCTCCAGTACCCCCAGCCCAGTGAAGGTTAGCTGGGAAAAAAACCCATATTCTTTAGCTTGGAATATCCCCATTTCACCAAAAAGTGTCAAAACAAAGGGAGAATTAAATCTTTGCTCCTTCATAAGCCAGATACAATGTCCCTTCAGACTTGGTGAGGTGCCTCAAAACTATGTGCAGGACAAAAGCAAGCAGATACTCAGATGTCCCTGTGGACCCTGCAGCCCTCTCAGTCCCCCACAGCACTGCAAGTGCAAAGGCAGCTGATCTGAGGCAGTCTGGTGGTACTAAACCAGGATTTTTCTACCTAGAAACCTAGCACTATAAAAAGAGGTTTAAGTGATGAGATGCTGAAACAATCTGACTGCTTACCCCACCTCCAATTAACAAAAACCTCTCTATTCAATGTACATAGGTGCCAGTTTATCAGTGCCTTGACAACTGTTGTGGCTTTGGGGATGAAGAGTAAAATACTTAAACAGGTAACATTTTAATTTAGTAATCCGTTAAGCTTTCACTGTCTGCCAGATCGTGTACACTGTAGAACCTGTTCTTCTGTCAAACTGGTGGCCTATCAAGGTATTTTGAAGCATATTTAGCTCATGAGACTAATCTTGAAAGATACCTAGTTTTGTCCTAAGTGGCACTGTCCTGCTAGCCCTGCCTGGCACCCATGGCTGGTACCCAGCCTCTCAGGCATGCTCTGGAGTGACCACCTTTCTGCTGGCATGGTGAGTGGCTTGTGCCACGCTGGGGATGCTCCCGCTGCCAAAGACAATGTTACAATACGTATAACACATACCCACTCTTGCAGCAGGCTCTTATCTCGACAGGCAAGGTATGTTACCCACAGAGTGTGGAGACACATGAAAAGCAGCAGGTCTCCCTCTCTTTCAGATCCTGTAAGGAATCAAAGAAATCTACAGTACAGTATTTTCCAAGCCCACGAGGCTTGCTGAATTGCTGTAATCTAGAGGAAAACACTGCACTTTTCAACTGTCTCAACCAAATACCATGTAAACCAAAAGCTGCATTTAGGCAAAGCTAGGACAGCAGGCAGCTCTGTTCCCTCCCTTCCTTTACCCCACTGACCACACTTTACCTGACACACGTCACACACGGTGTCCACTTTGTGCTGTTTGTGGTGCTTTCTGTGCTCGGGTCCATGTCACCGTGGGCAAAAGCCACCAGCCACCACATCATGGCAAAGAGCAGCCAGCTGCACAGGAAGGACATGGTAAAGATGACCAGCGTGTGACGCCACTTCAGGTCCACCAAGGTGGTGAAAATGTCTTGCAGGAATCTCCCCTGCTCGCGGATGTTCTTGTGTGCCAGGTTGCATGCCCCGTTCTTGGCGATGAAGCGAGCCTTGCGTGGCCGGTCCCGGATGCGCGGCTTGCGCAGGTTCTCGGCAGCGATCCGCGCCAACACATACTCTTCAGGGATGATACTCTTACGAGCCAGCATCTTCCTGCCACCATAGTCCACTCAGCAAGATATGAAATGGGGGTGGTCCCTCTAGGGTGCCTCCACAGGATTTACTCTACCCTGCAAAAAGAGAATCTGGTCAGACTTGCCACCTGTGCACTACAGCAAGAAGCCTACCAAACTCACCTACCTACCCCCTACCAAAACCATTACATCAAATATCACTGTATGGCTGCTAATTCAAGAGTGCTCTCCCTCTTTCAGACCACCGTTTTTATATAGGCAGTTGGTCTCATAACAAATGAAAAGTGCTATTTTGACACTCCTTGCAGGCAGGGAGGCTGCCCAACAGTCTCACAAACTTGGTGTAAAGTACCGAGACGTATGCCAGGTCGGTTCCTCAGGCTGTTTCTCCGGGAGACAGCAGTGCCCAGGTTGGTACCCGAACGCGAAGCACTAAGTTATTCGCATCCTTCAGCACCTGAAGAACCAGACGTCTCTGCTTTAAGACGAGGCTAATCTGTGGAGAGAGCGTGGAGACTCATCCCTTACTGCTACAGCCCCGAGCGCATGCAGCAACCCTGTCCCGTCCCCCGAGAGCATCGCAGGGCGCCGAGCCGGAGGTGCGGGAGGCAGGGACTGCGCCGAGCAGGCGGTCGCATTTTCCCTTCGCAGTTCTCCCTTCCGGGATTAGGCGGGGAAACCCTCCCTTTATTCCCAAACTTTGTCCCCAAAGGGGTGACAGAACAAACCCACGGGA